ACTCGTAGTTAAAAAAGTTGCATTGCGAAGCCACGGCAACGGCTACCTGTGCGGGAAGTCGTTGCAACAGATGCGCTAATGAGGAGAGATAGAAGACTGCATGCGAAGTGAGCCAGCGACTACTGAGCTAGGTCGATACCGCCTCCACAAATGTTTGTGTCACACACTATGAGGGCGACACCCTGCGTATAAGTTTACAAATTAAAGCCAGACAGAAGAGGAGGCTGACGTCACCTTATAAATGCGTTCTATCAAGCAAGACGCTTGATTGCCTGCTCCTTACCTACCCACAGGCATGTAATTAGCTTCATCCAGGCGTTAATTTGGTTCTGAGAACCACTTAACAAACCTCTTTGTCGAAGTAGACGCGTTTTTGATCTACTGACAGGGCAAAAGAAGGATAAAAACTTACTAATTAAAGCTACCCAAGGGCGCGCTAAGGTGTAAAAAACCTTGCCAAAGCTTGAACTTCTTAATCATCATCACCTTATCAACTATCCGAACTTTTACGTCTACATACACCCTCTAAATGATCATCGTTTTTCACAACTTACGAAACCTGGAATAGGTGGTTGGAAAATTCGTTTTGTTTTACTAGTTCTATGACAGCGGAGAAAACAGCTGTTGTTTCTTCAGTGGTAGCAGTATCCGAGATAACGTAAAAGCCCTTACCCGATATCATAGGAAGCGACCAATTATCTACGCTTGTCAGGACTTCCTGTACTTGCCAAGCCTCTGGGGTACAGAAAATTCACGCGAAGAACCTTAGGTAAATAAGTATAATGTAAGTGTAAGCATTTTTTCGTTCTGGTCCGGCTGAGATAACTGTGACGATCACAGGCTCTTAGATATATGCTACCCTGTTATGCATTTGAAGGAAAACAATCGTCGAACGCTAAAGCAGGCTTAATTAGAACGCATCCTACAATTGAACAAAACAAGGAAAAAATGCATGGCTAGGATGGTGTCACGTGATCACCTATGTCAGGTAAGCTACGGCAACAACTGAGCTTCTAGATTCGGATAGGCTAGGACAAAAGGCAACGTATGGCGTCATGTTGCCTTGTGACGGTTCAGGGGTATTAGGTTGTGAATGCACTACCCAGGACCACTGTACCGGAAACACGCAGAGCCTTAGGTTAAACCACGTGCATTCACCCGCCGACCTTAACTATATCGTCAAGCCCTCCACTCCGAGGGGATATTATGATTTACTGGGTCTGCCTTTAGTTGGTTAGGAAGACAAACAGGGACAAATTCAGCCAAAAGTCGAATTGTACTACGCTAGCAGCAGCAGCAACCACCACATACCCCCCTTTCCTTCTAGTTTTCGAATAAAATTCGTTCGCTTTTTATGCAAAATTGCTGCCTTGGAAATGGCTGCAGCAGCACTCTTAGGTAGTCAAGAGACCAATCCCAGAGAACGGCTAAACCATCGGCTCCCCACTTAGCATAGAAAGAGGTGGCATAAACAGCGAGACTAGGATCCATTTAATCTCAGGTGTTGGAAACTAAATACAACCACACAGTTTGCCACCGAAATGATTCAATACAACAGAAGTTGTCAGGCTGCATTTCTCTGTCATCTGCGTCTAAGAAATTTGTCTTTTAAGGTTAGAGTAAACGCAACACCGACTATGGTAGGCTCGGTCTTCGATTCAGAGGCAGGCTAATAGCGGTTATTCGTACAGCTGGAAACTGCAGCACACATCATTCGGCGACGGTGCACCCGAAGCCAAATCAGATGGGCCGCTGGTGGCTCTGAAGTTAACAGCCAAGCCCTCAGCAAAGTATTTTTCTTGAAGGTATAAATTTGTCACCCATGACATAAAATGACACATTAACGGGCAGACACAGTAAAGAGACACTTAACACACTATTCCCATGATGTAAGCCGACAGTTTACAGTTCGAACAAAAAAAATTTCACCATCGCTGTTTCGATTTTACCCCCGAAATCCTAAAGGGTACCGTGCACCCCTCTTAACCATACACAGTTGGGTTTGGTAGCCCCCACACCAACCGTTCCATCATCCGAAGGATAGCCTTCAACAACACCGGGGCATTTCGGTCGGGATTATTCTGCACTAATTGGCCCGTCAAACGTGGGATGATTGTACACGCCACAAATCGGTATGAGCTTTCGGATCCCTCCTGAATCCATCATCGGATAGGGCAAAAGTAAAAGGACAGAGCTAGACTGTGGCTACGTTGACCATCGACAATTGTGGGGGCGATTTGTGTTTTCGATCCTATATACATGAGACCTAGTAATCGAAGTAAACACAATCCATCCACTGATCGTATCATGGTCGGAGTTCCATGCCTCCAATAATCCCTCGCCGTCTAGCTCTCGACTAGTGCCGGTGAATTTAAAGTTGTGATTTCGTTCTAGACTGCAAGTAGCCGACTTCTGCATCGAATGGTCGCCTCACTTACACAAATTGATCTCTGTTTGTCCCTATCTTGGCACGTCTATCTTCTCCTATCTCTGATTAACACGCCCTATAGACTGCTGTTGCAGCGGACACCAATATTACTAACTGCTGACAGCATCAGCTAACCGAGTGCAACAGCACTGTGTGGTTTTCGAGTTCAACTGCATTGCCTCTAAATGTGGCCTCTTTTGCAACACAAAACAAGCACCAGAATCCAGTTTGTCGATAGTGCACCAACAGGCGGTAACTACACTAGCCAACTGCGCCAACCGGCGCTTATACCGCTTGTCAAACCGCTAAGGCCAGAAAGGACAAGTAGGAGTTGATGCTAACAAAGCTGTCACAAAAATAGTGAAATTCAAGGCGGTT